TATATGTATTAAAAAACTTAGAATGTATCTTTGATAAAAAAATTAAATTAAATGTTTAGATTAAAGAAAATAAATGAAAATGAAATAATATAGCCCTTACAATGGTGAATGTGAAATTAAGTAAAGAAAATTGAAAAAAATATATAAATATGAATGAAACTAGAATATAAAAGGATTTCTACTAATAAATAGATCGCGGAATCGCCATACTAGGTCTAAACTTATCTAGGATCGAAAGCATTGGACGGCGGAGACGACAGGCAGCAAATGCGGCAGGTGTGTACAAACTACTTCACAAGTAATGTCACAAACTCGGCTCTCGAGCGGGCACGTTTTGGGTCGGCCCGACCGTTTTCAGATGTTTTGACACAGATTAACCGTTACCGATTACTAACCTTTTAAAAGTAGGGATACATCATTAAATCTCATGAGGAGTAACAATATTACTTCTTTTGGTAATATGCAGGATAGCTAACCTTAAAATTACAAAAAATGCCAGGAATTTTTTCTTTCAAATTGTCAAGTTTCGCATATTATTTTGCTAAATTATTATTTAATTGCTTCTGTAGTAGTTTCTCTTACTTCTGGGGGAGTACACTGCTCCATTTCGACGATTTTAAATCAGAATCACACATTATTTCAATGTTTTCATTGACATTTCTGAAATGTCAAAAATCAAACGTCATTGGATGACCTACCACGTTTGGACGTTAACTATATTATGTTAGAATTTTATTTTACTCAAATTTTTGACTGAAAATAATGTGATTGTGAATAAAATAGCATACAAACCTCGGTGGTAATGGCATTACCCCTTGTGTTTTATCCGATCTCGAGGCTGGCGCCTCTCGATGGTATACGTAAGCACTCAGGGTAATGCCATATTTATCACCTCGCTTGTAATGTACTATTATTGACCAAACATACTTAATAAATTTCTTATTAATCATCTTCTGCAGGCCTAATTTATTTATATACGTCTTGGTTTAAAAATACTTCTCTAATCCCGATTGTAGAACTGTTCTATTACGTAACAACGTAACACCTACCTCAACCCTACTCTATTCAACATTATATCATTCTTCCCGCTTTTCGTTTTAGAGTGCACTCTTTATCTTTTTCCAATACAAATTACAAGCATGCTGTCTCGCTTAGTACTATACGTTGTTTACAACCAGTTTTAAATCGTACATAATTTTATTGGGTATCTTTGTTACTCACAAAACGTGTCGTGTGTGTTTTTATCACCAACTCTCTTTTTAAACTGTACCTACTTCGTGATGTTTTCCATTTCGTTTTATCGTATTTCTTATATGCAGTTCCTCCCACGAAATGACCTCTCTTCTATCACTCTCTCTGTTTCTCTCTCTGAACAACGTGGAGTTTGCCTCTTTAAACTTTAGTTGATTGACGTCTTTACGTGCACGGCGCTGTTTATTTCTGATATTCTACAATTACAGATACAAAACTACAAAAATGTTCTCCTTTTTATTTATTCACGTCACTTCATGTTATTCATAAAATTGGAATTACTTTATAATAATTGTGATTCAGTTTTATGCTAAATAAATAAAATCGCGATAATTTATCCACAGATCAGAGTGTAGGGAACACCGTCCCTTTAGGGTAAAACTACCTATACTGAATAAAAAAATTAATCGTTATTTAAAAATTCTAAAAATATTATCATAACTTTTTGATGGCCTTAGCAGCAATAAACATTAATTTGAAATTTTTTGTCCGTGCAGTTTAAAAATAAATTTAAAGAAACTTTTATTTTTGACAATTTTATTTTTTTGTAACAAAACTGTACGGAAGAAATTTTTTGATTATACTTATGTTACTGTACGTTTTTCATGCAATTTAAATAATGCTTTTTTGCAATGCGTTTCAAATACTCAAAATGAGATAAAAACTCTATGATACTGTGTGTCAGGTACTTTTTTAATTCAGGAACAACATCCAATTGTAAAAAAACAATTTGTTTACTGTATTTCTTAAAAATTCCATTTTTCTTTTTTTTTTCATTTGAAAACTTGTTTGAACGGAAAGAGCAAATTTAGTTCAGGAGCTATCTTGCCGGGATTCCCTAATTTTGGCAGAGGACAAAAAGCAAAAATCATACCAGATTACTCCTACAAATGTTAAGATTTTCTGATCCTAGTTACCTGTTTTTGTGCTGGTGCAGATACAATGATGGAAATACAATAATGTTAAATTCATTGCGTTTTCTTATTAAACGTACAAAATTACCTTTCTCGGATGATTACAATAAAAAATACCTTTTTCCACTCATACTGAATTATATTGAATTTATTGTTCTGACTAATTTGTTTCGAGAGATCAAGATAATTTGTAATCGAGTCATTCTTGCATTCATAAACGGATGTCTGTGGAACATCAAATAATGACAGGTCGAAAGGTAAAATAGCATGGTCAAAAAATCTCGACAAAAATTAGAAAATTTTTAACTTTCAAATTGATGCATATAATGTTTTTTACATTTCTAGTGATCTCAAAGACTCAAAAAAGTGCACAAAACGTTATTGGGTCAAGTTTAAAAACTTTCGAATTTGTTGAGTTTAAAAACGCTTGAAATATGTTTTTTTAGACGTAAAATTACCCACTGAACACGATGCAACGGATCAAAAAAATTCTACGATCCATAGTTTTTGCGATATTGAGTAATAACGTTAAGAATAAGGCTAGAAGCATACAAGATCTATAAAGGAAGATGTGGTAAATAAAGTATAGATGCAACACAATAATAACAACACAAATCTGAAATCTGACATAAGATGACCAATTCAGAATCAAAATTGACGACAAAAAGAAGACTTTAACTTGAAAGATACTTTGTTCTCGCTGCAAATGAAAATCTCAAAAAATTGCACAGTTAGGTACGTTGGTCCTTAAATCTAGACAAATCAAGACATAAATGTAAAACAGGACAAGACAATAAAAACCTAAACATGTCTTGGCTAAATCAGGACGGTTGGTCACCTTTTTTTAATCTGACAGTCTGCATGCAACCTGCAGCTGATTGAGCATCACTCCACTGACGTCACCATATAGCTATCTTACTCGCTCTTTAGTGTCTCTCAGTCCAAGTTACGAGGCAACCTTTTTACTTTATAAATCTTGACAAGATACAGCATAATAGCATATACGAGTTTTATAAGAAGCAGTAAGTGCGACAAAATGCCTTATAATGGAGATATCAAACAGTATATTTTCTACTTTGCACTTTTTTAAACAAAAAAATAAAAATTTTGGAATGTAGGGAATTTTACGGCAGTTGGCAACATTGCATGGTAGCTAGGTGGCTATGAAATAAATTAATTTGAAACGTCATTATTTTATTCGTAAAAATGAATTTCGAAGGTGTCGAAGACGTTTTGCAATGTACGGCGTTAGAAATACCGACCTTGACGGCAAATACGATGAACAGTTTACTCCCTGTGAGATCACACGCCAATATTTTTCAGTAAGTTGATGGCAAAACCTACCTAACCACAAAAGTCTCAAAACAGTAAGTACCTTTTATTTTACTTTGTCCTATGATCTAAAGGTATGCGTAAGCACAACTATAATCATGTTCATTCGGAATATTTTTTGCGATGATTAATTAAACCAAACACAGCAAAAATTTCGTATTCGAATAATTTCATTTGCGTTAGACCGATTAGACACTGACAGTTCAATGGAAAAACGGTTAGGTCGTCAACATTATAAGACTAAATTTCCCTCTTTTTAGTATAATTTTTATAGCACTGTTTTTGTTCACGAAACTGTTTTGGGTTTCATAATAGACCTTAGTACGAACGCAAACTAGAAAAAAATTATTATCAAAACTGGTGAAATTTCACCAGATCTGGCAACATAGCTCGGCAGCGTGTCCGTAAATAGTTGCTGATTATGGTCCGAACATTTCCGTATGTGACCGATGCAGCTCTTGTCGGGGTCCCTTCCCCTCGAGGACTTTAGTGCGCCAACGCCATCACTGTGTTAGGAAACGAAATATATTGCAAACAATCAAATTCTTGTAAACCGGTACACAGAAGAATTCGGATTTAAACGCCATTTCGGAACGAAACTGCATAAAACATACTTAGAAACGCGTTGATAACTTTCGGGGTGATTGTGATTGGTTATAATCGACTTGGTGCTATTCCCGTGTTGTGTGTTTTTATCTGTGAAATATTTCAACTAAAGGAAAGATGTGATCGTGTTGGGATGTAAAGCCTCTTTTAATTAGTGATTAAGTTTGTTTGTTTGTTGGCGGAAGTGTGTAGCAGGATTTTAGGCATATTGATTTTCGGATATTGGACTACCCCTACATGTAAGTTTTGTCTTTCGTGTTTTAGAAACGCCATAGAACTAATATACAGTTTCATTTAATGTCAGAAAAAGCAGACAGATGCTGTTGATCATATTTTAACAATTCCTAACTTCACTTTGCGAATCGCATTTTTTTAAAGAATGAAAATTGTGACGAATCCGTCGGTAATATTCGAATGAAAATATACCGTGTGGCCGCTTTACTTAATAATAGAAATGTTAGCAATGTTTTTATTGCACCATTGAAATGATTATTTTTACAGATTAAGGCGTACCTCATCTTTGTTCCAATACAAAATGAAAGAATATTTTTTTTTATTTAAACCCCCGGAATAATAAAATAAACCAAAAGAAAACCAATGTTTCAACTAAGAATGAGTAATACCGTACCATAGCCATCACCTCACTGGCAACGTCGCAATTGCGTTTTTTGAGGTGAAATAGGTCAAAAACCTTTAATTTCTGTGTATATAAAAGAATAATCTGTTACAACTGAACACTACTGACAAATTTTGAGCCAAGAAGCTCATCCACTCTTTCATACAGAAAAAACGTGAAAAGTGACAGCAGTGGCGATGGCTACCGATACAGTGATGGACAGTGAATTTAGTCCACCCAATTTCAGTAAATTCACAAAAATTCACTCTAGTGATAACTGACATTCAAATACGTATTATCAAATTTAATCAAATTCAAATATGCCAGCAGTAAGTGCGTTTAATAAAATAAAAATTATCTCTCTGGTACAAGAAGGTATGTCTCAAAGACGTGTCTCTATACTTTTGGGCATACCAAGGACTACCACTTCAAAGGACAAAGGTAAAAAGCAGCAAGAAGCATCGAGCATTCTGAAACAAGGTTAGGAAAACCTAAAGACTAATTTACACTTTTAATCTGTCATTGAAATTGGGTGGACGAAATTCACAGTCCATCACTGTACTTCGGATCCGGATAGTTCTCCGTAGGCACGCATGTGTATATTAATTGTAACAAAAAAATGGCAACACTGAATAGGGTCGTTTGCATCCATCGGAGTTTTTGTGTGTTTTTACTTTTATACGTTAGAGATTACTTTACAAAGAAGCAATCCATCAATAAAATTAACTTGGGAGAGTTTGAAAAACTATAATTTCGATTATTAAGCTTGGGGTAGAATTTAAACCCGAGATAAATTCTCGCTTTACTACGTAACAATCCCAAAAGCACTGACAACTGACAGTGGCAAGTGGAATAATATGGCGGATGTTTAAGCACAACGCTTAAATGTAATCATCTTTGGCATCATAATTATTATTGTATACACAGAACACAAATATTAAAATAAACAAACACCAAAATATAACCTTAAAAAAGATCTGCAATCTGCATTACCGACATTCAAACAGCCAATGAGCGCAAAGAACGGATTATTACCTCTTCAAATAAAACGCCCGCGTTTTGAATTTATTTCATTTTATGAGTTTTTGATATATTTTTCTCTACTAAAATTAAGATTTAAAAAAAACACCAAAACATGGGTCAATTATTTTTTAATAAAGATTCAGAATATGCAATAAAAAAATATGTGCTACGACCCAATTATTAGTAAAGTTTGAGTATCTTTACTTGAATTATGTGCTTTTTCATACAGAAAAAAACATTGTGAAAAGTGACTTTGCCCAATTTAACCTACCTCGTTTCTCTTATAATAACCGAGATCCCTATGGTGGAGCTCGAAAAACAAACACCCAGTATCCCTAAATTTTCAATATCATTTACAGTCATGTGTAAAAGCTCATCGTTGTGACAGGCACCTGCTACTCCGAATGTCAATATAACCAAAAAAATATAAATGTAACAATAAATTACATCGATGTTTTGTAAGAACCATTTACCTTTGTTGGTGCTTTCTGTAAGAAGTCATCAAATTCTTGTGTAGATAACACTTTAGGTTTATAACCTTCACTTTGCCGTTTCAGAAAACCAATTATTATAGTTTAGTATATTTTTTTAATATTTATGTTATTTATGCCAGACGTTCAGTTGAGACTTTATCATTGAGTATTGTGCCGATGGAAGATGTATCCTGAATTGTAACTTTCTTTAATGTTATTTGTGGCTTTTATTGGCAAAAGATAATTAGTGGATTATATATTTTCAGTGGTAACATTTATACCGAGAACTATGATTTAACATTTAAGCTTAAGTATTTAAGATTTAATTTAAGAGTTCGTCAACTTTTAACTTTTTACCTTAAAAGACAAATAAAATTGATAAAATCTGTGACTGTCAGAACCATGTCATTCTGACATTAATCACTTTGAAAAGTGAAACTTTTTTTCTGAAATAATAAGAATTAATATGAAAGATGCTACACTTGTCGAAACTGTTCAAGTATAATTGTAGTTTATAGATTCTCACAAATTATCACTAGTTTAACAAATGTTTGTGTGAAATAAGAGATTTACATCGGTTATCTTTAAATTAAGTACTTTTTGGTTAATTTAGAAGTATAAATTCGAAAATTTAGTAAAATGTGAAATTCGTTAATACTTAAATTAAATTTTAAATCATAAATTTTAAATATGAAAGCATAACTCCACCATTAGTATCATTAAAATGTCAAATGACAAAAAACAAATGTCAAAAATTTTGAGACAGGATTTAAAAATTTTTTTTTTTGATATTCCTGTTATCGTATCTTACTTGAAATTTTTCTCTGGGACGTGAGTTCCAGCAAACCCTGTAGTTATCTTTAACGTTAGTTTGAATTATGTCCGTAATTTTTTTATATGATTTTAGGAAACATAAACTCTTCAGATTACCAATACATCTATTAGTTTTCTTTCTGTATATTTTTCTAAAAATTGTCTGAGTTTGTGGTTTTGGGTTAAATCTTTTATCTCAACACAATTGTGCTCTTGAGTTGTAACTCAAACGAAAGAACAGACTTTTATCTGTAGTTGAGATTGTAGCCGTACCTGGAGCTCTCCTGGTTTGTATATTTCTTGACACTGATGTCGTCATAATCGTTCTCAAATATGCTTCGAAAAACGCTGTTTCTATTGCGGTACATAACCATGAGATGCATTGTCTAGTATTAAACAATCAAAAATGTGGAGCTGATCCGACAATAAATTTGAACATATATTTATAATTTTTGTTTAGTATAAAATGATAGATGTTCAGTATTTAATTAATTTTTTGCACAGTAAAGAACTATGAATGTTCAGTATAATATAAAACTTTGCACAGAAAAAATAATAAATATCAAGTAAAGCATGCACAGTATTTTATTGTAATTTGTTCACTACAAAAGTGCACAATAAAAGAATCGATTTTGCACAGTAAAAATAATAAAAGTTCAGTAACGTTAATCAAAATTAACAACAAAATATGGCCCCTGCGCAAGAATGTTATTAATTTTCGGACTTATTATTGTAATACTGAATATTTATTATTATTGGAGGGTGGTATATACAGGGTGTTTGAGGATTGCGAGCAAATATTTTAACCACTAATAGGACTCGTCAAAAGAAACAACTTTCGTTATTACTTTTGTTGAAAGCATTAAAATCTTTTTAAAAGCTTTTTTCCAAAATGCAATGATTTCTATACATTCATAAAATATCGGCAAAAACAGCAGTTCGACCAAAAAAACTTAAGAACTATTGCTATTTTTTAGGTATATCCCTTCTCCTTTATCACCCAATAAAGAAACAAAAATAAGGTAATTGTTTAGTATAGATGGAAACGTTAAACATAGCTTTTCGAATTGCGAATTTTTACTGTACATACATTAAACTTCCTCAAGAATTCATATCCAGTTTTAGCCTAGTAAAATTATGCAGGTCTTAAATTATTATTTGAATTTTTATAGCTATGGAAGTTATTAGGTTATGTAGTGGTATTAGGATGGTGTTTACATACATGGTGTACATACAAGCAACATGTCGGTTTGATTACTGACGACCTACAACATTTATTTCCAATTTACATCTTACTTTCAGCATCCTTGCGCAGGGGCCATGCTAACCCTTTTTATAATTGATTCACAGTTTGCAACGTCCTTTTTCTTTTAGTATCCTTGCGCGGGGGCCATTCTACCTATCTACATAATTATTCATTCCCAATTTACGACTTCTTTTTTTATACGCAATAATTTAATACACCTCATGTAAAGAATGAAGTTAGAGCCTAACCTGGCATTTAAATCACTAAAAACGTGCATTCTACATATTTATTGACCAGCGCCCTAACTCTGGGTTATTGAAACAATTATATTTCAATAGGTTATCTCAACTGATCTCAACGATGGGTACAGTAGGTATACCTATTCGTATATCTATTATTTTTAACGTTTTCAAAACTTGTCAAATTTGAAAGAGTAGATGGATGTACAATGGTTGTAAGCAAAAATGTCAACTTTCCGACAACGGAAATGAATTCTTGAGATAATTTTGTGAAGTAATAAAGAAAAAACCATACTGCTACATGTATTTTTAACGTTTCCAATTATACTAAACTGTTACCAAAAATTATAATTATAACAACATTAGTTAATTTTTTTATAATTTATTTTAATAGTTTATATTAGAAGTAATTACTAATTAGAAACATTACTTTTTGCGGATGCCTTATGAATAATTAATGACATTCAACTTTAGGAAAAGATTTAAAGAACAGAGTCGGTGTTATTTAAGATTACGGAATTGAGGTGGGGGAAGTTAAACGGTTAATGGGGGTGCTTTTAAAATTGCATCAAAAAATGTCTTTTTTAAAAACAAAATTATCTTGTTTTGGGGTTTTTCTAAGGTGGTTCGTTTTTTTTTTTAAACATTTTGTATTTCATGAATGGATGGTCTGATTCAATTTTGGTAAAAAATCTTGAAAAGCTTGTTAAAATAGCTTTCGTTTGATGTACCACAAGTGGGGTAGTGCCATTTAAAATTTTAAAGTTGAGGTTAGGGGGTTACTGGGAGTGCTTTAAAAATTAGGTACGTTAAAAAATGTCTCCCTCGA